ATGTGGCTGAGGAAGCTAAAACTTGAGATCCAATGTGAGCTAATTGCTTCTTATATTAGAAAAATATGCGTTTGAAGTAGGGCATATATTGCATCAAAAGCCCAAGGAAGCCTAGTGAGGATTATGGTCCTTTCTTAGTGGAAGGGTTAGTCACTTTCTTTATACTTGAGGAGGGGTATCTTGACATGCCTCAGGTAACTAGGAATTTCTCTGAGGTGAAAGGTATCTTAATTGTTGTGGCAATTTTCCCCACCTCTGACATACATCTTCTCAGTCATCAGACCCAAGCAACTTAATGCCACTGAAATAATGTACTAGAGTGATGAACTGTTAAGTGAGAAAGCAGTCAAGATTCCTGCAGACTAAATTATGACATAGGTTAGAATGTTGATTTAAGTTCTGAGGAAAGACAGTGAAGGTGAATTGCTGCGCTTGCCAGCTGGAAGCAAACTGTTTCTCAGGGTCTTCACTAATAAGTGAAGACAGAGAAAGCACTCATCATAACAGCTGGATACCATCAATGAAAACATTTCTGAAACAGAAGCGGCAACTGGAGTTATCCCTGATTAGGTTTATGATAAACCCATTGGCTTTCTCCAAGACCCATCTGTCTTCTGCATGGGTCAAACATGTGAATTGAGTAGAGATGTCAGAGCTCTGTTCTCCATCTTTCGTGTTCTTTACAGTGGCACTAATTTCTGCAATCCCTCCAAGAATGAGAGATTAGCTTTTTGTATTTTAGTAAATAGAAGCAGTCCTAGTGGCTGAGCTTTTCCTACCTCATGGCCTTCCCTCCATGCTTTATGGAATCAAGGTAGGGACTCTGCCAGTTGCCAGTGTGCTTATTAAAGTTATGCATCCTGGAACTGGAGAAGTAATGACAGGATTCAGGGATCCGCAGAGTCCATGTAAAATGGACCTGAGTCAAATTCCGTGGTTCATTTTCTCCATCAGCCTTTGTTCTAACTGGTAGACTTTCTAGCTCTCTAGAAATTAGTGTCAGTTTGGGTCCAGTGATTGGTAATTCTTAAATATTTTGAATACTTCCCTTCCTTCATTGCATAGTAAATGTACAAATATGCATAAGATTCTTGGGAAATTTAGAGGTAGGTTATAGTATAAATTCTGTGCGTCAATCCTTCCTCAAGTGACTTGGCTTCACCTTAATTCAAGGACCTCTGGGGGTGTGAACTGGCTCAAAACTAGGAATTGGTTGAGAGGCCTAAGTCCCTAGCATAGCGATTTAAGATAGATTTCTCTTCATAAGACCTACAAGTTTTCTGCTTGTACAAATCAAGAAAGATTTCACGTGGCTGCTTGTGAATTTCAGATTAGGGACCCCATGATCTGCGTGTTAGGGCCAAAAATCTAAGGACAGACCATTTTGATTGCTGTGCTAGTTCTGCTGCCCAAGATGCTAGTCCTGTGTCATCTTTAGCAGTGAAGTGCCACCACTTGGCCCTGTCACCCTGGTGTTCTGTCATTTCCAATGAATTTAGGAAGCCCAGCTTACTTAAGTTCAGGGAGCCTGAATATAGGGCGGGATTTCCCTTTGCCGTTACTGGCATGGAGAGAATGGCCACCACACAGTTGCGTAACCAAGGCTTCTGAGTCCCCCCACACCTGTGCTGCTTATAGTGAAGGGATATTCTTTGATCCTTTCAGAATCAAAGGGAGGGGGCAAGTTTGAGATAATAAATCCACTCTAGTATTTCAACCTCTCCAATCCTAAGATAACTTCCACTGAGGTATGCTAAGGAAGCTCTGGCATTTCAGCTGTAGAATTATGCCTACCCCTTGGAGTTAGCACATTGAATTTAGAATCTCTATGCAGTAAACTCAACAAAAACTTGGCTTTTCTGACATTATTGTCCTGGAACCCTGATACACTGCCCCTTTGATTCATTCCCATTCTTCAGATTTCTGCCTAGGTAAATTAGCAAAAGTCTTAATTCTCTTTTAGCATGTGTTATATTTCCTTGTTCCTCAAATGTCTCTGTAACTTGGTAGATCTTGTCTGGTTATAGATCTAGAAGCTGTAGGAAACAGTAGGGGTAGGTCCTACTACCTCATAAGGACATTATAGGTTTTTTAGATAAGACAAACCATTTCAGTAAGCACAGGATGAATTCTTACTATTGCAAAGAAGGCTTCACAGAATTTACAGGTATAGAGTCTCCAGCTTTGTTGGAATCTACCCATCTGCATTTTCAGTTCACTCCCTTTCAGTTAATGTCTTCACTTTGCCATAAGAGACTATGTAACATGAAGAATACTATCTACCTTGTTTTAGCAACCTGTAATATTGTACTTTAGGTTTAGTTTTCAGAAATTTTGATTCTACAGCTACAAGAAATAAGAATTTCTTTTATGGTGATCATATCAGATTTCTGATCCCTTGCCTGAGCACTGAGCTGGAAAAAACCCTAAGCTTATCATTTTCCCCTTAAGTTCTCCCGTGTACTTAGAAGTAACCAGCAATTCACCTTCACTGTCTTACCTCAGAACTTAAATCAACATTCTAACCTATGTCATAATTTAGCCTGCAGGAATCTTGACTGCTTTCCCACTTACCAGTTCATCACTCTAGTACATTATTTCAGTGGCATTAAGTTGCTTGGGTCTGATGACTGAGAAGATGTATGTCAGAGGTGGGGATAATTGCCACAACAATTCAGAAACTTTTCACCTTGGAGAAATTCCTAGTTACCTGAGTATAATATACTCAGGTATATATAATA